TAGATCAGCCCAGAGGTTGTTTCAGGGTTTGATCTGTGAGTTAGCCATGCCCTGACTTAGATCAGCCCAGAGGTTGTTTCAGGGTTCGATCTGTGCGTTTAGTGGTGTTCTGACTTAGATCAGCCCAGAGGCTGTTGCAGGGTTCGATCTGTGAGTTAGCGTGCCCTGACTTTGCCCTGAGGTTGTTTCAGTTTTCGATAATGTGAAGTCATATCAAATTATTCATATCCAAACAAACTCCCCCAAGTTAGATAAAGTTATATGACCTTATTCTATTCTTTATTCGTTCACAAAAGCGAAAATGTTCTTAAGGAACTCGCTAGGTTCTATTCAAAAGCAATATATTCATTCAACTGTTCTGAATTTTAAACTGAAAGATGTTAAAAAAACGTTTTGAGGTTCCCAATTCGGCTTTCGAAAAGTGCTCGTATATATCTGTCTAAGATAAACGTTCAAAACAAATTAAATTTTATGTAATTTCAGCGATTATCCGATCACAACGACATAAACCTGATCTAAAAATTGTCTGTACGCACTACAATCTAGATACGGAATCTAGTCAAGCCATACTTCATGCCTTTTCACTCTCTCTTACTCGACTACCGAGCCGTGGATTTGAGACAGAAAAATCACAATGTTTACATGTTCCACGGCCGGAGGACCTATGTCATTTATTATACGGTTTGTATAGACTTTATTATGTATGGTATTAAAAATTTCGGGCGCACTAGATTTGGTACTTTGGTCTAATTGTTCAACGTTRTAAGACCGACACAATTCAAACGCGCGCGGAGGATATATATAGAGAAACGTTTTTCACATGAGAGTAGTGAATTAGAAGAGACGTCGCCATAGGAGACGAGGGAAGCAGTTCAATAGAAGGAAATGATGAAGACACGACCGATAAGGCTTACTGGCGAGAAGGGTAATGAAGCTATGAAGCGATGAAAATCCAAAGGAAGAAAGAAAAGTATGGTTAAACATAGCGAATTAAGGGAAATAAGTGGAAGTTAATGAAGTTAGACATGGACTCAAAATTGGACATATAACAAGACAAAACAAGAGATAGAAATCAAGGAAAATTATTTAAAAAATAACTGTTACCAAACCAAAAAGAAAACTGAAAAAAAAAAAAAAAAAAGAAAAGAAAAGTGGAAAGAAAAGAGACACTGTACGATTGAAGGGGGAAAAAAGACTAATAATCCTCATGATAAGAATGAACGATTTTTTAAAGAGTTGAGTGCAAGACAAAGAGCTATATTTTTGTTAATGGGACTATCAGACGAGTTTGTTGTTGCCGACATAGCTCCTGTGGTTTTGCCGACAGATAGCCAGTTGTTCCCGATAACCATTACCGGTCATTTTCCCTTCAAAAAAATCCGTGATGTTTGGCTTTATTAGGCTCAAGAGAATTGAATTTTCAATTTTTTGAGGCAGAAATAATGAGATATAACTGATGAAGTTTCTTCTTGCCGTATCCTTGATGAACAGGTTTTGCTATTAGAAATAAGTGTTAAATTAATAATGGGAAATTCAGGGGATAATTTGGTATATTGAACTCGAACAATTTATATTTTTCATCGATACATTTGTAAAAGAAAGGAAAGAGAAATGAAAAAAGTAAAAGAAAAGGAAAGAACAGAAAAGAAAAGAAAA